GTGGGCATTGTGACAATGGTGACGAACTTTGAGGGCATTATTTTAAATGAAATAAGTCAGACAAAGACAAATACTGTTTGAAGTCACTTATCTAAAAAAAAAAATCAAGCTCATAGGAACAGAGAACAGACTGGTGGTTGCCAGCAGTGGTGACCAGGGCGGGGGAAATGGGTGAAGGTGGTCAAAAGGTACAGACTTCCAGTTATAATATAAATAAATCTGCAGATGTAACGTACAATATGATAACTATAGTTAATACTGTATTTTATATTTGGAGGTTGCTTAGAGTAAATCTTAAAAGTTTTCATCTTAAGAAAAAAGTTTTGTTAACTATGTAAAGTGATTGATGTTGACTAATCTTACTGTGGTAATCATTTCATAATATCTACATATATCAAATCATTATATAGTATACCTTGAATTAATTCAATGTTTTATGTCAATTATATCTCAAAGAAACTGGAAAAAAACAAATGTATAATTTTTGTTTGGCAGTTATCTGTATATGGAAAGTATCTTGTAAGATATCACCTCAGGTGGTTAATATTAATGCTACTTAATATAAAATGCTGCCCTGAAAATTTTGTGATATTTATCTATTAGTTCTAGCCACTGGCTAGAGAGTAATACTAGTTGCCTACATTAGGGAGTAAATGTAGCTTTAAGTAACATGTACAAAAAGGGATTTTAGTTGACTGTAAGCTAACTAAAAAACTGATATATTCCTAGATCCATAAACAGATGCATTCTCCTAATGCCATGGACTCCTTTGGCAATATAGTAAAACTAAAGAACTCTTTTTCAGAATCATGCTTTGAAATGTATAAAATACATACACTGAATTATAAAGAAAATGAGTTGCACTGAAATGTTATCAAATAGTAAACTTATTTTTGATATAGTAATACCTGTGTTTTAAAAACTATTAAGTAATATGAATAGCAGTGGGATAATATCTACTCAAGGAGATGAATATAAATAATATTTCGTTATTCCTGCATAGTTACATTCTTATATGAAAATATCTGTGCTTTCTATTGATGACAAAGTCATGGTTAAATTCTGTGACAGTCACAGTCAGTGCTACTATGGTTTGTTGCCTATATTTATAATTAGGAAAATACTAAATTTCAGTGGGAGGTTAGTGAAAATAAAGCTGTAAATTTTTCTTCCACTCAAGTTCCTGGAATCTCTAAATTCTATCCATGGATCCCTTGTTCTTAAATCTCTTCAATAAGAGAAGCATTTATTTATGATTCAATGGATTTATAGTATTTGTGGCCTCCTCATTCACTTTTCCCTTCCTTTTCTTTTCTGCTGCTCTTTAACAAGTTGGGGAGAAAGATTAAAACAAAGATGCAAGATACTTCAGGCTTGGGGCAGTTCTTATATTCAGAATTGTCCATTATCTTCTCATCAGTCAATATAATCCCACCAATTATTCCAGGCTTAGTTTAAGTTGTACATTCTCTAGTATGACCACATGATCCACCATGATTTCTTCTTTTTCTGAATTCCTACTACACTTGGAGTCAGTTTACCCTCATTTTAGAACTTAATTCGTCTCTATGTCTATTTCATCCACCATTAGTTTTGTCTCCTCACCTAGCCCGGGAAGTTGATAGAAATTGAGAGTGTTTATCATTCGGTATTATCCAAGGCACACTGCTAAGTACATTGCAGGTACATGATATTTCCTTGTACAATGTCCATCCTACTGGTGATGTTGGCCAGCTATGTAAATCACCTAGGCTGTGGGACACTGAGACTAAACATTCTTTACCATGGCTGTCAACTATGATGTATCATTGAGAATGGGCTACCCAGGTGTATCCTTGATAGTAACAACATTTATATGGCACTTATTATGCACCAGATACTCTTCTAAGCATTTTGAACATTCATTTAAGCCTCTCATTAGCCCTAGAATGTAGGTGCTTTGTTTATCACCATTTAGTAAATGAGCAAACTGAGGCACAAACTAGTAAAGAGAATTTGAAGCTAGGCATTCTCTTCCACAGCTAGTGCACGTAACTACTACATTGTATTGACATTCATTTTCTTCATAAATATATGAGAAGTCTCTGAATATACCTGTAATTTTAACATGAAATCACTTATTGACAATTAGCTTTTCTTCTGCTGAACTGCTATATACACGGACTGGGTGATCATGAACTCAGCCCTTGTAGTGGTAGAATTTTATTACAATAATAGTAGCCACCATTTACTGAGTGCTTACTGTGTGCCAGACCCTGGGCTAAGTGATTAATCTCTGTAAGAACCCTATAAAGCAGGAAGGAAAACCTAGGTTCACATACAGTAAAAGATGAAGTAGTAAAAGAGCAAGGATTCTAAACCAAGGCTGTATTAATTTTTGCTTAAAAGGCAATGCTATACTATTTTCCTATGTGTTTTGCCCTATTTCTACAACTAGATTATAAATTCCATGAAGGCAGGGATTATTTCTCATACTTGCTTACTGACTCCATCCATAATACTTTGAATGCCTTGATCTTCTAAAAAATGTTTTTTCATTGATGGATACAATTCTCATTTCACAGAATTCAGCATGGTGGTAGTATAAAGATTTTGGGAACTGTGTCTTTTGGGAATTTACTATGTCTTCCAGCTTCAGCTTCTTTATCATTAAAAGGAGGAAACTATACTTATTATAGAAGTATTTAAAGATTAAAAGACAGTAATATCTGTAAAATATTTATTATAGTGCCTGCCATCTAAGTACTCAAAATTGCTAGCTTCTTACTCCCTTCTTTGAAACACATATTTTTGGTCAGGTCTTCAAACGATTGATTTTCATATACAATTTTATAAAAATGCTTATCTTTCAATGTGCAGTTGAGACTTGTACTACTTGGCCTAATTCCTCTTTTTTCTTTTCTTTAAAGTCAACTAAAATGATAAACATTAGTTTATTTTAAACCAAAGGGAGAATCCCTTCTGAGCCAATGAAGCACTTCTGTCTCTATGGTCTAGCAAAATGGTTACTGATGAGCAAATATGAAAGAAATGAATAGAAGGCAGAATAATGGTCCCTCAGATGTCTACATCCCAATCCCTGGAACCTATAATACGTTACTTTACACGGCAAAGGGAAATTCAAGTTAAAGATGGAATTAAGGTTGCTAATCAATTGACCTTAACTCGGATATTATCTAGTTTTATCCCAGTGTGCCCAGTGTAATCACAAGAGTCCTTAAAAGTCAGAGAGAGAGGCAGAAGGGAGAACCAGAGATGGCAATGTAAGGAGGACTCAGCCCAATGCTGCTGGCTTTGAAGATGAAGGAATGGCGTCATGAGCCAACGAATGCAAGTGGTCTCTCGGAGCTGGAAAAGTCAAGGAAATGGATTCTCCCTTAGAGCCTCTGGAAGGAACTCAGTCTTGCTGACCCCTTGATGTTAGCCCCACAAGGCTTGTTTTGGATTTCTGTTCTCCAGAACTTTAAGATAATACATTTGTATTGTTTTAGCAATTAAGTTTGTGGTAATTCGTTAAAGCAACAATAGGAACCTAATACTCTATGCAAATACTACAAATTTGGAATTGTGCAAGAACAAATGTGTGGTTTTAAACAATTTTCAAAGTGACCATATGAATAACAACAGTGATATTCCACTTGATTATACTGGGTACAGATGTCAAATAAAATGCAATATAGTAAAATTTATCATTACAGATTCATTAATAACACTTGTTTGTAACTAGCTAGGTTAGAGGAAAAACTTTTTCTTCACAATTCATTCTTTAGTCGCTAGAAACTTCTTCCTATTTCTGAACATGGTCAGAGAAAAATAAGGGAAGAAGTTTAACTACAATAGGAGAGACTTTTGTTTGGACAAGGAGAAGGTAGTTCAAGGGTCCCCACCAGTAAGATGGCAAACATCCGGCTTCTCTTCGGGGTCCTCAGTTCCCGCCGGCGCCACCTGAAGCCCAATCACCTCTCGCCCCCCTCCCAATCCCAGCACCTAGCCAACAGCCACCAGCCCCGTAGAAGTGACACCTCAATCAATTCATGCCCCCTCCTATATAACCCAGCACCTTTCCCTAATAAAGCGGAACTCTCTGGTGAATTGCTGCTATGTGTCGCTCCTTTCCTTTCAGTAGTTTTACGCTGTCACTCCACAGCCTGAAATACTTCTTTGGCTAATTCATACTAAAATGTATTGCCTGCCCTCATTTACCAAACTGAACTACTTTTACATACAAACATGAAACTTCTGATCAAAACCACTAGTGTCTTCCATAGTATTAAAGACTCTACTTCATGCTTACATCTCTTCTTATGGCTTCTTTTCTCTGCCTAGAATGTTCTTCTTTCCCTTCTCTGCCCATTCAGCACAAACCAATCTTCTCTCAGCATCCCTATTAGTCATATTCTGTAATTGTGTTTTAACTTTTATTGCATATTCTTTATTGTTTGCATGTTATTCATTATTACTTCAGGTTTATATGTTTTGTTTCCCTGTTAACTCTTTGCCGATTAATGATGGCTGATGGGGGCACAGGGGTTCATTATATTAGTCTTTACTTTTGTATGTGTTTGAAGTTTTCTATAATAAAAAGTTAAAAAACAAAACAAAACTAGGGGATCCACCTTCCTATCTGTAAAGCATTCTTCTCAATTTCTAGATTTCTCCTTCCCTGATACTGTAAGGCTGGTTGAGTTGGCTTGCCTCTGAAGTCATCCATACCTCTTTTGGTTGAAGACACATCATGTAAAAGAAAGGTATGATACTATGCCTGCAGGCTCATGGCCTTATCCAATATAACAGTAGATTTCTATAAATTAGTGTGCATTATTCAAGATAAAACTTTCCTATTGTTCAGTAATGAGAAGCATGAGTAAGTAATTCCACTCACTGGTTAATTGTTTCTATAATCTTTGAAACTTTTGCCTCAAAGTTATTGATACAGGATTCCTTGTTAGCATATTTCTGGCAAGAAATGATTGAGGCAGGTTTTCATCAACATTTAATAAGGAAAAAGTTACAATCAACAGTAAAACTTACTACTGCTAGTTCATACTATAAAGCATTAACAGCACAAAATGTTAATTAATTTCTAATTCTCTATCCTATTATTTAGATTTCATGAAGGTTGATTGGACTTGATCCATCATTTTACGGAAAATTAATTATTTCAAATACATGCACCACTTTATGCAACCTGCCTGATTTGCATTGAGGAAAATTCAGCAGAAGTAATTGAGGCACAAGCAAATACTGGCACTGACTGAACTCAATTTTCATTCCAAATTTCTGCAAAATCCCAAGGCACAACAATATCAGATGCAAGGGGGAAACAAACAAAAGCAATGTGAAAAGGGAACATGAAGAGAGAATATTACAAGAATCAGAGAACAAAGGGATTGCAAAACTATTTTAGTGCCATAGATGAGCAGTTAGGGCTTCATTCAGGCAAGGTGGAATAAGATATCATATGGCATCCTGACAATTGATGTCTTCATTTAAATGTAAGAATTTACATTCTAATTAGAAAGAATTTACATCTTAATCAGAGGCAGCTGTATTATCTTGTTACTGTTTTTTTCAAAGGTAATGAACTAAAGTACTGCTGTGCTTTTTCAACCAGAAACTAAATAGGCAGCATCCAGTGTTATTTTATAGCTTACCTGCTGTAAGCTGTTATTAATATTTTCAAAGATTAAATTTCTAACTAAAATCTTTTAAAAATGAAAATTGTATTTGACATCACTAGAATAGTATGATACAGACTTAAGTATTTAAAGAAATCCTTTTCTAACTTTTATTTTAAATATATTTATTTATTGAGCTAATACAAGCCTCTTACGATTTATTAATATAATATTGTTTTCGTTTGGGAGGATGTGGTAAAGCTACTAAAGGACATATGTCTCATATTCTGGTGAAATCCTGTTGTTCTTAAACTTACATTTGATTATAAAAGATCATTTACTAAATACAAAACTTTACCTTATTAAGACCATTCAAATAGAAGTGTATTCTTTTTTCTTCCAATGATGCTTAACAAGGAAAAATAACAAATATGTGTAACAGAATAATATTTTGCTTGTTTTATGCTCTTTCGTTACTACATAGTAATAACATTTAAAAATGTAATAATTTACAAATGTGCACAAACTCTGATGGTGTACAGGATTGTCATAGTCAGTGAAATTAAAGGAAGTAATGCATTCAAATTCATACTGCTCTATTGTACATTGTTCATAATGATGATAACTAGAACTAGGTATTGGTAGTTGGTATCTTTGCACAGTTGAGCCCATCATTCATATGAGAATCAGTATGAGCTCACTGACCCATGGTTTAGAAGAAATTGGGCTTGGCCTAGGAGAAATCAAGCAGGAGAAAATTACAAGTGTTAATAAAAATGTAAAATGCCACCTTTGTCCCTAGCACTATACATCTTTAGGTTATTGATACTTATTTTCATAAGCTGTATCATTAATATGAAGTTGTAGTACAGGCCAGTTTTTAATTTGCAGTTTATGGTTTAATTCATTATGTAATATAATATTTTTTTTATTCAAGTAAAGGGAAGGAAAAATAATAAAGAGATCAAAGCTTTATCTACTAGTCTATTAAATAAATGGTTAACATGGTTAATTTGGTCAAAATATTTGATAAAAAAATTATAGAGAAAGACTAAAATTCTGAGGTACATATTTATCTTTATCATCACTGTGACTTTCTAGATCCATATACATAAAAGAAAAACAGATCACATACAAATGTACTATATTTTAAGAGAAGAATAACAGAATAACTCCAAGTAGATTAAAAAAAGAGGAAATTTATTTTAAGGTGGCATTTTCCTAACCTAGGCCACTCTGATGACAAAGAGGAGATAATTATTAGCTCACTGGTGCTTTTTCTTGTATTCCCACTAAAGACAATTTATAGAGGAAATGATTCAGATGGGCCTGACTGAATTACTGGCTCTGAAAGATGGCTTTATACTGCTGTCAGAAACCGTCAGCCCACTTCTGAAAGGTTTATTTGTCTATAGCTCTTCTGTGTATGATTTGTTATGAGGGCACCTAACACTTACTACATAGCACACACAGTGCCTTCATATTTGAAAGTATCCCAGATAAGTTTTTGATTATTCCCAGGTTTTATGGAACCTGTTTGCCTTTTCATAAAGAATATCTAAAAATAAACTATATTTTGCTTTTTATATTTATGAATGGTTCAAGTGTAATATAATAGACTTTGAGTAATAGTATACCAGAGTGTTATATCTATCACCTACACCAGTTTCTATTTGGCCCCATGTAAGTATTCATATCCAGTCTAAAAGGGCATAATAAACATAATATAGGACTCTTCTTGCTTTATTTCTAGTTTCCCATATCAGTTTGAGCTTGGATGATCAAAACTGTTTCCTAAGTAGACTCTTTGCTTACAGGTGCCTCCCCATTTAATTCATCCTTTGTGGAATTGACTGCCTAGTCATGGGATCTAGTCTCCCCTATTACATTGCAAGCTCTGTTAGTTATACAGTATAGAAAAGACATGGATTCTAATTTTGATTCTGTCATTAAGTGGATCTTATTCTTCTCATTTGTAAAATGAAAAGGTATGAAGAGTTTCTTTCTTTTTCCCTAAAATTAAATGACTCCATTCTTACTCATCATGTATACTCTGAATTCTAGTTATTTCATGTCTATTAACATCTTTCTTCCTTCACAACTCCAACCCAAAATGCATTTTTGCCTCTTTCTGTCCATCCAAATCCTGTTCATTTTTCAAGATCCATTTCAAATTTCATCTTCCCCACAGTGCTGCTCTGCTAATGTTGGCCAACAGTAATTTCTCCTTTCTCTAATTTGTATGTTCAACTAATACTTATTGACTGTCTACTCTGTATCAGGGTGCTGGGGATGCAAGGAATGAACAAGATAAACAGTCCCTGAACCCAAAGAGCTTACAATGTAGTGGAGAAGACAGATAAGAGGCTAGTAACAAAGATAACCAATTGTGGTAAGTATAAGGAAGGTAACAGTTTGCTGAGGGAATGTGCACATGTGAAGTATTTATACAGTGTGATCAGAGAGAAGTCTTATTTTCTATAGCATTCTTGGTATACAGTAGTAACCAATAATTTAATATGTTATTATCTTGAATTGGCATTTGAATTATCCTGGGTGTAAGTTTTATTTCCCAAACTAGATTGCAGGAACAATGACACTTATTGTTGTAGCTAGCATAAACTGAGTATTTATGTGCCAATTATTGTATTGGGCAATTCCAGTATTTATAATTTAATCCTTAGAACAAGGAAGGTATTTTTATTATTATCTCATTTTACTTAAGATGAGGAAAAAGGGACTTAGAATTAGACTAAGAAAGACACTTGGTCAAAGTTGGACTGAGACTAAAATTCATGTCGGCAAATAACAATATGCAGTATATTAATCAGATTGATAAACTCCTTCTTGGGGACAGGGATTTAGTATCAGTCACTTGCACATACCAGGCACTTAACACTTCACACTTAAATTGGCTCTTTCAGTAGGCATCACACTTCCCTGGAGGAAGCTTCCCTGCACTCATAAACCTAACTGGTCTCCAAAGACTTTTCTTGGAGACAGAGAACCTTGGATTGAAATGTGTGGGTAAAGGTATTTCAAATCTAGTTTCTAACAATGCTTCTCATCATTTTACTCCCCACCAGTTGTCATATGGATGATGTTTTCCTACTCAGGACAATTAGTTCTGGTTATACCACATACTAGCAATTACCTATTTTGGGTTTATGTTCAAATGATTTTGATTCAAATACTAAAAATATTTAGTTATCAGATAATTATTATATAGTAGGGAATTTTTAGAAAATCAATCAAGGATCCTTATTCACAGAGTTGAAGTTAGGTGTAAAATATTTTAAAGACTAAAAGGATGTGTTGCCAAAGAATAATCTATATTTTAATTTCATATACAAAAGAAAAATGGGAGAACAAGTCACATTTTTGTTTCAAATAACGCTGTAAATGCCAATAACAATTTTCCTTAAATGCTCCCTTCATTAGTTTTATAACAGTGCAGACTTTAGCCATGGGTAATCCAAAAGAGCAGCTTAAAGAGAAAAAGTATATTTGATTCAGAATATGCTTCAGCATTGTTTTTATTGTGGTTTTCTTAGGCAGAAATTGGAAGTTAGCTGGCTTCCAAATTTTATTGCTTTAATCTTCTTTCCCAGTGCTGGGAAACAACAACATCATCTCTTAGGGCATTTGTACTGAAGTACTAGCACTTCAGTTTAAAAAAGCATCAGTTTATAAATTTGTTGGTGTTTACCTTTACTGTAACTAATTGCTAACTTTTCCCTCTGCCTGATCTGGCCAGATTACAGTAAGTAAGTATTTTATTTATTTAGCTTTATTGAGTTATAACTGACATACAAACTATTGCATACATTTACTGTATACATATTGATGATTTTGTTTTAAAGTATACAGTGGTATTGTTAACTATAGTTACTATGTTCTATAGCAGATTTCTAGAACTTATTCATCTTGTATAACAGAAACTTTATACCCCTTGAGCAACTATTCTCTATTTCTCCCTCCTTCCAGCCTCTGGCAACCACTTCTGTCCTTTGTTTTTATAAGTTTGACTATTTTAGACACCTCATATAATATTTAAATGAAAAGGTACTTAGTTAAGGAAATATGTGACATTATTGATAAAAACTTGGTCTTTGATTCAGGTAATCTGAAATGTGGATAATATACTTGTAGATAATTGAGAAATGGTTTTTAAAATTATGCCTTGAATTGCATGCTGCTCTATAATCTAAACTTTTATACCAGAGTTACATTTCATAGGCTTTATAAAAATCATCTGAGATAAGGTAGAACTCTAATGGCTTTGCTGTGTTTCAAGAACAAAGAAAGAAATTGCTCAGAGGATAACACTAAGCACTAAGAACAGAAAAGGAGAAGTCAAGATAGTTTAAAAATGAATACATGAGAAATCAGAAAACAGATTAATAACAAAGAGAATATAGGAATAAAACATGGAGTTATAGGTTTACTAGTTTACATTGCTAATAGATAGTCTTTAAAAATATAATTCAATAATTAGGAATGATGACTCCAGGTAGCTACTGAATTCCCTAGGCATAAGAAAACCTATTCTCAGAAGAAAACTACTGGCATTTTCCACCAGGGAGCACATCCTATCCATTCCCTATAGCCCGAGGCAGATTGAGAGAGGCTATGGTAACAATAGATCCATACAAGATCCATATTCATCTCAAATACAAAGACAAGAGCCTAACCAAGAATCACCCAATGTTTAAATATTTAAATACCCATGGATATTCAACAAACAGAACTCATATCTAATGAAATAGTTTATAAAACAACAGAAGAAGACTTTTTTCAATCGTTAATATCCTCAAATGGGTAAGATAGGTTGTAAGGAAAAGAACCATTTAGAAAACATGGAAAATAAGAATATGACTGTCAAAACAAAAAAAAAGTTCAATTACTTTACAGAATGGACACAACTGTGGAAGGAATCAGTGAGCTGGAAGACAAGAGTAAAGGGATTCTCTCAGGATATAAATCAAAAGGGAATAAGAAATAAAATATTAGAGAAAAGATATGGACAGTATATCCAGAAACTTTAATATCTGTCTAATGGACATTACAAAAGAAGAGAAGAAAGAGAATGGTAGGGAGGAAGCAATTTGTATATCAAAGTGGAAATTTACTATGTTAAAAGGCTGAAGGAGAAAAATTAGAAGCAAAAGATGTAATTAAAAACTTTCCAAAGCTAGAAAATAAAAAGAAGCATTTTTTCACTGAAAAATGAGACCTACCAAATATCTAAAACAAACTTCTTTTTTAAATGGTAAAACAATACAGAAAAATCATATTAAAATCAGAAAGAAAGCCTGATTCCCAATTTATCACTATATTTAACATCACACTGCAAATGCTGGGTGATGTAACTGGATAATAAAAATCAATTAAATGTATAAATATCAGAAAGGGAGGGAAAAATGATCATTATTGGCAGACCATCTATCTTTAAAGTCCAGAGACCAAACTGAGGAACTACTAGCATTAATGAGATGGCTCAATAAAGTGGCTGGATACAAGATCAGCATTTAATAAGCATCAATACAAAAGTGTAATGAAACAAACAAAAAAGGATCCTATCTACAATTGTTAGGGGGAAAAATAGCTCAGAAAACATTAAGGAATAAACCTGGCATGAAATATGCAGAACATTTACTCCTTTCACAAATATATACTGAATATGCAATGGGAATACAAAGGTAAAAAGAAAAAAAAAGATGACAAATTCAC